TCATGTTTTATTTTATCATACGCCTTTTCCTGATCTAGGGCCACGATTGCCCCATCCTGTTCTGTCACTTCCGCTAGGTTTATGACTAGCTTTGCAAGCCAGACTTGGTCAAAGATAGGTCGTCCAGGGACAAAACCCGCTTGTGCGCGGTCTATCAGGCCAGGCGCTACTTCCGCAAGTTTGATGGTGAGTGCTTTTGTCATGATTTTGTAGTCAGAGTTTAGTAAGGAGATTGGTCGGTAGTTAGGTATTTCTGCCCGATCGTTCTTCTTGTATAGTGGGCACATCCAGCTTTCAGAGAAGCCGGTGCCAGGTACCATCCCATTCAGTTCGATATCGTTGTACACTCTTCGCAAGGTTCGAACTATATTAAATTCTTCTTTTTCATGGGCTGTGGCATTTTTGTATCTGCCGTCAATGAGTTTCCATACCTCATAGCTGATCCCATTGAGTCCGGGTGCTTTGCCATTTGCCGACAATTTGAGTGCTCTCGCTACATCCTCATCAGTTAGCAGAGCTTTTAGCCGTTCTTTCTGTTCCTCTGTGAGTGTTCTATTGATTTTTTGTAGGGTTTGTTGAATCATCTCCTCTCTGGTATCCTCATTCGGCAATGTTTCGTCATCCTGTAGCTTCCCATGGTGGTCTTTCATCATGTCCGCCATGGCTTGTGAGTTCTTTTCATACTCGTTCTCTAGTTCTGGAGTCCCGTCTTGGAGTTGTCGATCTATATCCCCTAGTGGGTCCAGCGGGGGAGGTTGGTGGTTTGGCTTTCTTAGCCGTCGGATCAAGTCCCTTGGTTTCCGTTCCCGATGGATGTTGGACCAATATTTTGACATTGTCTCGCCGTGGACTTTGTAGTTGGCTTTCGCGGCTGCACTTGAAGATCGTTCCCGATGTTCAATTAATTTTCCAAGTGCTTCCTTCAGGACGATTAATGACAGGGAGCGTTCCTCATCTGTTAGGGTGACATCATCGGTGACTAGCTTGATTTTGACTTCTAGATCCTTCATTTGTTTCTCGATCTTGGGGATCACAATTTTTGCCCTTTGCCTTGCCAGTTTCACAAACCGGGTCTGGAAATTGGCCCAGATAGTCTGTGGGTTATGATTGGGGTCCCACTGTCCTGCGTTTTCCAGATCGGTCATTTCTGCTTCAGCTTTCATACCCTCTGAGTGTATGAATGCTCTCACATCCTTGTCATACAGGATGTGTAGTGGCATTTTCCACCGCCCAGGCCCAACCATTGGGGCTTCTTCACATGTAAGCTTCATCGTGATCATCTCATGGTCCGTTTTAATCCATGGCTTCTCAATTTCCCACTCAAAGGCATGTTCAAGCTGTGATGCTTTTACATATATCCTGTCTAGCCTTGCTTGGCTAGGGCGTTGGTCGGTTCTGTTCTGAGAGTACGTGTACTCTTGGCGTAGAGGGTATGTATCTCTCCATCCATCTACCAGCTGGAGTTTTGTTTTGAGGTCGTCAAATGCTTCAGTTATTACATGCGGGTCCTCTCGTGCTGGATTTCTGTCCAGTGGTTCCTCAACCATATTCAAGTCCCCAAGGACGATATCTGGTCGAGGAATTCTTGGGTTGTTCTCAAAGAAGTCATTTATTTTTTTCCAAAATCCTGCATTTGTTGTGCTATCCGAGCATGGAGCATATAGAGCGAGTAGTGTTAGTCTTTCTGTGCCATGCCAGACAGATTCCATTAACATTGCATGGCCCGGTACTATCTCGTGGGTCTGTATCCCTTCTGTGTTTGTAATATTTCGGTTTAGAATTATAGCAACTCCAGCCGCATTGGCGGTATCAGGTAGTTTAGAGTAGAACATTTTCAAATCGGCTCCATGTAGTTTTAGAATGTTTTCACGACGTTCCGCATTCATGTGTGCCTCGCCAATTACTAGTATTCCAATTTTTTGTCGGAGCACCATCTTCTTGATTGTCGACCATTTGTTTTCATCATGGTTTACATTTACATTCCCATGGCCTTTAATGTTTAAGCCCGCAATTTTTATAGATGCTTTGGTATTTTTATGACATTTGTTCTGGTCTCGTTTTGGGGGTCTCTGGTTCTGAGGCGGGCGTTGTTCCCGCTGGGTTTGACTCTGCGTTTGAGAGCTCTCCCTCTGTCCCTGTGTGTTCAGGGGTGGTGGGGTGTTTTGTTGTTCTATCGACAGGCGGTTGCCTCCTGGGGTGATTGCCCTTTGTAGTCTATCCATTTGTTGGAGTTGACTTGTTGGTGCAGCCTGATTCTGCAGCCTTGTGTTCGGCGTTAGGTGGGTCTGTGCCAAGGTGCCTCGTGGGACTTGCATTTCCCCGGGTTCTTGTTCCTGATCGTCCAGGACCCCGGGGTCAATTGATTTGAGCTCCGAGCTCTCCCATACACGCTACGAAGGAACCAAACCGACTGGCCAGCCTTGGCACTCTTATTCCACCCCGTTGCACGCGCAGGAACTCAATACCTGAAGGATGTAGGTGACAACGAAATTTGCAATTTCATCAGTTCTGTCAAGGAGATCCGCTGGAGCTACTTAACGATATTCCCGGAACCCATGGAGTGCACCCTGTGTAAGAACGATAGCCACCATACCTTTCGCTGCCCATACACTGACCCGGACATCATCCACACATGGAACGGCCCCCGCTCCCAAGTCTTTGCCTCCACTGGAGAATACACAAGAGAGGTTCGGGGCTCCTCGAGCCAAGGGAGGTCATCAACCTGAGTGGTCTGTCTCCGTGTCATTTGGTTTTTTACTCGTCTACGGATCTATCGCTCTTGATACCGCGCTACTTAGTCATACTTACCGATATTCCTGCAACCTCGTCCCTCCTACCGCCCACCACCCACTGTTGGCAGGCTATATTTATTCTAACGTGTCTTGTACATAAATGAATATATATTCTTGTCGCAAAATAATGTGCCAGAGTACCACGCTCGCTACTGTGTAAGTTCGCCTTTTTTATACTTGCCCAAAGACATTCTATCAGAGATCTTCTGGTATTGGTCGGATCACCGGTTGCGATCATCAAAGATGCGGCCTTCCGATAAGTACACCCTGCTCTACCCTGCTCCCAAAAATGTGCTGATTTTAACTTTCTGAGAAATCACGAGAGGTTGAAAACACTTTGTTCTATACTAATAGACGGAGGGCCATATGTTTGATTGTTCGCAATGCGCACTATCTGGTACGAAACCTCCGGAAATTTCAATCTGAAGGTCAGAAGCTGTCTGAACTTGAAGAAGCACGAATGACCGCTTTCCGTCGAGCAGCGCAAAGCTGAACAGAGATTTTTTCAGAGTTCCTCGAAGTTGCAACGTCGTCTGCAAGGTTGCTGACCGGCGCTAATTGAATGGCTGTGCCCATTCTTTTTCATCGATCACCAACTGGCAACAGGACCCAAGGAAGAGCCATGTATCCGCGGGCTTTTATCTTCGCCTTCCTCCTCCTTCCTCTGTAATCTTCCCGTAATTCTGGCGCAAGAGCCTCAGCCTGAACCAGTCCTTATCGATTATGGTTTTTTCTCCGTGAAACCGCGTCCTGCAGAACCGGCTTCCTTCGCTAGCATTGCAACCAGCTGTAACGATAATCTACAGCCAATCAAGTCCGCAAACGAAGCTTCCCTCGCTGCATAGACTGCAGCCAAATAACCAGACGATCATTGCAGGATATCCTTGAAAGCTTGACCGTGCGTACCTCGAGAAGCGTTGGTAAACTGATATACCTATGTTGAACAAAGTGATACCAGTGCGTGACTTCTACAGAGCGTTGTGCATTCGTTTACTCACTTCAAGTTTTATCCACTATATTTCCTGCTTCTCCTTCTGCTTCCGCCTCTTCTTCGACTGCTTCTGCTACAGTCACCGCAACCAGTCGCAGTTCGCGGTATCGATTGGCTCACACCTACCGTCTCAGTACACGCGAAAATGTTCTCCTGCCTCAAGGCCTCAAGCTCAAGCACGACTGCCCCAACGACTGCTGGAATTCGGGTTGGAGCTTCCTTTCCTCGAATATTGGGTATCGGGATAGGAATATTGGTTTCATGTTTCGCTTGACATTTGAACACAAGTACTACGAGTATCTATAACAGTATTTGACCCTCTTCCTCCTTCTCGCTTGATTTTCCCTTTCTAATACAGACCAGTACTTGATGCTCGACCAACGCAAACCGACTTGTTTCCTTGCCATGCGACTTTATCGTAAACCAAATTTGTTTCCGCGACTCCCGTTTCCTTTGCAACGATTCGGATTAGTTCTCATCTGCCATATTACCGGTTGCCGGTTACCTCTCGCGCTTACCTCCAGCCATCTGAGTCAGATTCAAAGTTTCAGCCCGAGTAGGCGGTTCGGGAACGGGGTAAGGTTCCCAAACCCGAGAGAAGACATCGGATAAGTAAAAACCTTGCAGTCAGACGGGCCAAACAAAGATCTACGATAGCCGGACAGTAGGTAAGTCCGGTGCTACTTAGTACTGGCTTACCTGCATATCCAGCATCAACATGAATCGATGTCGTGGGTACCCCATTGCATCGAGAGCGCAGGACATTCGTCCTCCATCGATTGCAAACCTGCTGCAGCGGCACTTGCTGAACTTTGAACTCCCGGCCTATATCTCTCATGATTTGTCTTAACGCAAGTGCTGAAGAGCTGAACAGACAGCATGGCTAGGGTTGTGACTATCACCGTTAGAAAGGAGCACGACGATCCTTCGGCACCTTCACCGCTTCTACCTTGATATGTTCCAATCTGCATATCCGCGAAGGCGGGACATCACTCCCTTGGAGTAATCTCCGGGCCCGGCGTTCAGCACTTGGACCATGCCGTGTAATAAATCCTTCCTTCCTTCCTTCCTCTCAGTCGTACTTGTCCATCACGACCCCGGAAAGACTCGACTTGGAGGTGAACGCGCGAACTCGGGAATGCACCCAGTGACGGTCGTTGTTTATTCAGAAAATGTACGATGAATACTTATAGTCAATTGCTCCCTTCACAAACATCGGGGGTATAGCTCAATTGGGAGAGCAGCAGACTGAAGTAAAGGTTTAATCTGAAGGTCCCGCGTTCGATCCGCGGTACCCCCATTAGGGAGTTGCGTGCGATATTTTTTTTCAGCCACCGCCGGAATGTTAGGCCTACATCCTGGGCCCTGGCTCCCGAAGGTCTCCTCTCCAAACGTGTTCAGTTCACAAGATCCGATAAACCACTGAATAGTTAGGTAGGCGGCCTCCCTCGTGAAACAGACCGTTCACCCACCAGCTGCATCACGGACAATCATTGCGACAACCAAGCAGAAGAGAAGCAGCGATGACCAGAGATCCAGATACGACGATAAAATGAGGCTGCACGCCGTAGCTCCAGGAACAACTTGGCACAGAATCCAGATCACAAGCCCATACCCAGCAACCGACGCTATAAGCCCCAGGCCAAAGAGCATCCACTTCAGCGTTCTTGACATTGATCTCCATGAAATTGCGGGCCACACCAAGTAGAAGAGGGCATCGAGTTTTTTGGAGTGCCCTGGGTCCTCCTTAGTTGTTCAACGATCATATCGCTACTTCATGAATAGGCCAGGTTTCCATAATCGACCAGGGTTTATGCGAAAACTAGATGGAAAACGGCAAAACGGTAAAAACATCTAAAAACATGCTGTCATTTCCTGTTTTATCAATAGACGAAATTACTATATTCTCTGTGGAATTAACGCTGGATTGGGAGGAGTGTCAGTGTCAGGCAACGCTGGATACCCGAACATCGTAATCGATTAAGAGGGAAGAGGTGGGGATGGTCTTAACACTAGAGCGAGGTATGATATATGACTCCTTCCTTCCTTCCTTCCTTCCTGAGATGAGCGCTTAAGGCCAAAAGATGGCACGTGCTCGTGTATACGATTAGATTGATCGATTTTCTTCTTTCTCTTTATCTTACACACTTGGGCCACCCTCCGAATACGAGCTTCACTGCCAGCTTTAACTGCACTTTCTACACTCGACCGTATCTGTGTGATCGGCCGGCAGGTTTTCTTATCTTATCGTATTAGTCTGACAGCTGCGCCTCGTCTTGGTTACTCCAAGATGTCTTATGCTTATCCTAGCACTCTTCTTCTTTGTGCCGCTGCTGCGTCGCAGCAGATTCTCTTGGTAACTTCTCGCCTTGTCGAATTGCCGACAGGCTAGTGGAAGGTGGAAGTGCATTGGTAGGTTCGTAGTAGATCTATTATCGACTGGACATACACGAAACCCCAAGACACGCCCGGCGGCCTCAGCGCTAGTAACCAGCGGTTCCAGACCAGATCTCGAGGGAAGAATCGCCGTCGAAGGCCCGAAAAGTGCAGAAAGTTTCAGCTTACAATCCGTTTGTAATCCCAAGCAAACGAGAAAGGTTTAATAACCCTGACTCTCCTCATTGCCAATTCTTCTGGACGTACTTACGCGCAAAACGACGTACCTGACGTCACAAGCGACCGAGTCAGTGGAAAGGTGGAAGCCGATGGAAGGAAGCTTAGTAGGGGTCGAAGGGTGAGAAACTAGTGGAAGGTATAAAGCCCCTACAAGTCACCTCCCCTCCCCTCTTTCCCCAACCTCTCTTTTTGTAAAGTCATTGAAAATTCCCATCTCGAACTACTTATTCGCAATGCTTTTCACGAAACTCCTTCCCTTGCTTGTATTCACGGGCCCCGCATTCGCTGCGGCGACGCCTGCTCGCTCACTCCACGCTCGCGAGGAGATCCAGCCTAATGGGACGTATATGATTGAAAATGCCAAGTCTGGTACAGTGGTCGATCTATCGGGCACAGATAACACGAGCAGTAAGTCCTCTATCGATAACTGAGCCTTCAACTTACCTATGTATCGAATCCCTCCAGTCATCGGATATCCCCCTAACGGCGGCGAAAACCAAAAATGGTCCACGATATGGACCGGAGAAAAACTGGAACATCCAGTCGGTTTCTACTGGGCTGTTCGTGGGCATCGTAGGAGTTGTTAACAACGGCACCAACCTTACAGTGTCGAGCACTGCATACGCTTGGGATATCGTGCATGACGAACTTAATGCGACCGATTTCCGGTATGTCCATCTTAGTATGCTGAGCGCTCGCACGCCTAAGGCGAAAATTTCAGAATCTACAGTTCCAACACTACTGAGACATGGGACCTTTATAACTACGGAGATCCTACCCCAGGAGACCCGATTACGCTTTGGGGGGCATGGTAATTTCAACCTTTGTTTTCAATCTTCCCTTTTATTCGCCTTCTCATACGCCGCTTCTCTTATCGCTCCTTCCTCTTCACTTGGATTTCTTCAATTCTAACGCACTTTATTCTTTTACAGGGCGGCAATCCACCAGACATGGAATTTCATTTCAAGTATGTTGTTATCTGCGTTTTTCTAAAATCTTGACTGATCACAAACCAACCTGCACCCTTTTCACCTTCAAGTCGACAATATGACTGCTCAAGGCTAAAATGCGGCTTATATAGTTCCAGTCATCGTCTTTATCAGAATTGACGCTTCCTTTCTCTTTGAATCTCTACTGCTACTTCAAGGCCGCTGCTTCGATATTCGAGTACTAGTAGTAGCTGTAGGTTACAGATACTGTTTTCCTTCATAAATCCTGTTCCAAATTTTTTCTTAAAGATCCAGAATAACGTTTTTTTAAAGTACGCTAAGCATTATACATACGTCGCCATAACAAGTGGACATGAAAAATCATACAGACAGTTGTTACAACTGTTCGCGCTGGGCAGTACAACTCCAAATTTCGTATTTCTCCGTTGAAAAATTAAACCTTTTCGTCCTGACTCTGAGTTGAGCCATCCTCCCTGTGTTCGAAAGCTGGCAGAAACATAATAAGTAACTTCAGACCCACCACGAAATAGCAATAACTGACCATGCTCGAATTTGGCAACGTCCGCAGCTCTTTTCTCCGATGAAATAGAGCCGAAAATGATATCCATCTCCTCCAACGACCTTCCTTTGGTCTCGGGTATCAAAAGCGAAAAGACACCCATCCCGCCAATGTTGACGGCCGCAAACATGAAGAAGAATTTGAATCTCAGCTCTTGCTCGATGAGGAGAGTTTGGTGAGACACCACGAAATCTGAAGAATATGGTTATTTCCACGCTCCCTACGAATGAGTACACAACGTACTCCATAACCATTGGGATGCGCTGGCGACGGCCAAGCCGTAATGTCTTGTTCTGGTGTTGAATATGTCCGAGACGTAGCTGTTATCGGGAGCCGGGGATTAGTACTAGGAAACATCGGTGCGATGGAAGAAAGACGTACACTGTGAATGTACAGTGAGTTGGGTGGAAGCTGTAGTCAGAAAACCATCCATCGGACAAAGAGAGCGTGTCGGCCAACGACCGAGTTCGCCACTCACCCCATGGAAGAGGACCTGTGTGAAGTTCAGAATTTGATAACCGTAGGGCAGGACATCAGAACGCACCCCATCCCATGCTATAGAAAACGACATAGATGTACAACATAGCTGCCATTGCACGACTTGCAGGAGGAATAGTAGCCACAACGGTGTTGGCACTAGCAGCTGGCGGAGGATGGGTTTTGATCAAGGCGCCGATAATGAAAAACATGATTCCCATTCCCATAGCAGAAATGAAGAGTGACCATCTACGACCGATCCACTCAACTCCGAAAAAGATGAAGAGGGAGGTTGCAACAACCTAGTCCCTGTCAGTATGTCCCTTGCTTCCAGATCATATAAGAAAGCGCACCTTGACGACACCTTGATAGATGAGATATTCTGTTAGTAAAGTCCTATATGCTTTGTGGAGGAGGATTTACCGTATACCCCAGATGCGAGCAGTGAGTTCTTGTTACCAGTGAAGCCGATCGAGGCGAAGATCTGAGGCGCGTAGTACCTGAAAAAAAACGATTAATCAATGGACGATACTGAAAGTGGTGTTCAACAAACTCACGAAACAGAGTTTTGGCCAGACCATTGCTGCAGCAAGAAAATGACGAATGCAATCACAAATCGGATGAAATTTCCTTTCCCAAAAAATGCTTCCTTCCAGCCAAGATCCTTCCTAATCTCGCGCTCCTCTTCAATAGCCGCTTCGATTTCGGCCAACTCGTGGAGGACCTCGAGATTATCTGTAGACCGCCGACGTAAATATGCAAGGTTAGCGAGAGCTTCATCGTGGCGGTCCACCGAAGCCAGCCAACGAGGTGACTCCTACTATCAATCTCAGCGTTGAGTTGTCACTGGTAAAATGGAATTGTTACCTTGACCGTTAACAGGCCAAACAGCATTATTCCCGCAGGAACGAGCTGAATGACAATGTTAGATATTGGCGTGGTAGCAGTTGAGAAACCTGTTGCATACTTGGAAACCAAACGGTATTCTGAATGGCAAGGAGGTATATGAGATGCTAGTAGGTGAAAGAGTGGTAGATAACACGTACCTCCATATTCTGGGGCCATCGACAATATTAATGCTCACACCGACTACGTTGAAGATATAAAAAATTTGACGAAACGATGAAATGTAAACACTCACAGTTGATGAAATACGAAAGCATTACACCGATAGCCACCATAATTTGGAACAGACCTGTGATACGACCTCGCACTTCTTTCGGAGAACATTCCGAGACGAAGCTGGGAGACACCTATACCAGCGAGTGAGTGGGGAATGTGATCAGAGTTTAAACGGAGACATACAGCACTAATTCCACCAATTCCCACTCCAGAAATAACTCGGCCGGCGTAGATTAGGGCTAGTCCATTAGTGGGACTACTCGCTACTGTAGTCAAGATCTAATTGAAGACTTATAAGCGACTGGCATATCACATATAAGTATTACTCACTGCACCGATTGAAAAAATGAACGTAAAGCCAACAAGAGTCCATTTTCTGCCCATCTTAGCTAAAGTATAAGGTCAATCGTCGGCAATAGATAGAAGCCTGGATTTCTTACAAGATATAGGAGCACTTCCAAGAGCACCAAAGAATGCACCAGCCTGAAGGACCGAAACGACATTGGAGGATACTGCGGTGACCTGTGCAGTATTCTGTATCCCGTTTGGCCACATGCCAAAGTGTTTCTGGAAATT